CACAATTTGAAATGATTTATTTTCTTATTTATTATACAATATTGTAAGTATTATTAATGCCCGTCCTTTTTAAGAAAACATTAGGGACGGGCAGTAATGGCACAGTAACCCGTCCCTTTTTCACCCGTCCTTCTTGAGATGAATAATAGAAAAGGACGGGGGACGGGTTGCTGTGCCTTGACCCGCGCCACGCCCGTCCCTCATAATTGCCCGTCCTTTTTTATATTATTTTGAAAAACACCCGTACCATTGCCCGTCCTTTTCTAGTATTAATGGGCCAAACGTGAAAAGGATGGGGACGGGTTCAAGCCCCACCTGCCCGTCCCCCGTCCTTTTCACGTGTCCCCAAGAAATTTCAGGGATCAAAATTTGTAATGTGATTATTAAAGTCTCCCTCCCATTTGTTTGTTATCTTTGTTTTTTCCTTAATATCAAAATAATTAATATGAAAATCATCTACTATGGAACCCAAGAATTATAGTACTATCAGAAGTATTTTAAAAAAGGAACAAGGTAAAAAAATTGCTCCTTATATTTCAAAATAAATGATACTCAGACAATTGAAACTTATCTAAGGAAAGAAAAGATTACCTATGAAATTTACCAAGAAGAAAAAAAATAATAAAGAAAACAGAATGAAAGTGTATTATTACCTAATAAAAGCAAAAATCTTTAAAAGGAAAATAACTATCATTTTCTTTGATAATTGGAATGAATTTCAATTTATACAGAATATTCTTTAAACGACTTTCTTATTTTCGATCAAGATCATCTTTTAGTCTCTTTAACTTCAAGTTGAGCAGTTAATTGACCATTCTATTGATCTTTTAATGTCTTGTTTTCCTCTTTTAGTTGCTTAATTTTTTCTTCTAAACTTTTTATCTTATCCAATAACTCCTGTTTCTGTTTTTTACTTCACTCTTCAGATTTTTCTTGAAATTTGTCTACCCCCTCCCTTTCAACTTCTAGGGCTTCCTCTGCAGTGGCTAACTCTTTTCTTAAAGAATTTATTTGCCTTTCATAAAAAGCATATGGTCTCCCCTCATATGGTAAAATAGGAAGTTCTTTTTCTTCCACATCTTTATTATTTCTAACACAATCACAAAGAGTATCTCTATTTAATTTAGTTTCTAACCTTTTACAACTCTTACATTTGGTAATTCATTATTCTCAAATTTCTCTTTACATTTTTAGCAAACATAATTATTTGCCACTAACTCTTCAGTCACTTTACTTTGTGTTCTAATTTGACAAACTGATTGATTTTCACTATTTTCAAATGAGAGCAACAATCACAAGTTCTTTGTTTCACTCTTCTAAACCCAAAATTGTGTAAAGGAGTTCTCTCATAATTACTTGACTCTAACTTCTATTCAAGTCAATAACTTTTGAGTTTGGTGTTTGGTTTTTTCTACTAAGTGTTGGAGTAATGATGGTGGCCGAAATTATTTTAGAAAATCTGAAATAGTTTCGCCCACAGACATTGGGAGTTTAGGCTCCTAAACTAGTGGCGAAACTCAAAAATTGCCTAAACCGTGGGCAAAATCCTAAACCGTGGGCAAAACTCCTAAACCATGGGCAAAACTCCTAAACTGTGGGCAAAACTCCTAAACTGTGGGCAAAACTCCTAAACTGTGGGCAAAACTCCTAAA